TTTGAGTAGCGTGCGAGGAACTATCTCCCTACATATTTATCTTCCAAAAGCTGACCTTTCACTCTCTTTAATCTGATGCCCATGATGTGGCTCAGCCAATTGCTGCAGCAGACAGTGCGTGGTCACAAACACTGTCACGAGATGTGCAAGGAGTGCAGTGTTCCTGCACTACTTTACACCCTCCCGCATCAGCCCCTGCTTATCCTTTTATCAGTTAGGCTTCCCACACAATCCAAGTGAACTGTTGTCACAGGAGAGAGCTTTTTGCATAACAGCTGTCTTGGCTGTGAAAGTTTTGGCCCTCACAGTGCTGTATGAGGCTTGTATGAATTCCCACCGCTGCTCAAAAGTGGAGGATGCCTTTCCTTCCCTGGCTAGGTGAGCTGCTTCCAGTAATACCAGTGAGAACGTGTGTCACTGCCAGAAGGGAGAATTGCTGTTGTTTCCGTAGTTGTGCGTGCTGGTGTGCATCCTTTTCTGAGCCATTTAATGTTCTCAGAAAAATAGCTCATGGAGAAGCTGAGCTGCTTTTCTGCTATTTATGGAAGTCAGGGGACTTGTAGTTGTCTGACAGCTGCCAGAGGGTGGCAGAGGGAAGGCATGAGGGCTGAGGAAGGAAGAAGGAAGCCTTCCTCTTTGGTGCCCATGAGAGGCTGGGCTGCTCAGCTCCCTGTTGGCTGTGCTGAGCTGCTCTGAAGTGCACTAATCAGGGGTGTCTGTAGGTAGATTGAGGGTGATTAAGGAAGAATGTCCAATGTCAGGCATCCAAATCCTTCTTGCCACCAAGTGTGAGTTAATTACATAACTTATTTATGCCTGTAAGGACTCCTTTCCATTGGATTATTTTCTTGTTTTGGTGTCAGGTTTTGTTTTTGGGGGAAAAGCGAATGTTTACAGACATTTTTCCCCTTATAAAATGAAATCTTTTTCTAGAACTGATTTACGTCTTCCTCAGCAACACTAGAAATCCAAACAGAGCAGGCATTTGGCAACAACTCTGGACTCAGAACTGAGATTTAAAAGTGGAATTCGGCTACAGACTTGAAGAGGAAGGAGCTCGTCAGGCTGGGGTAAATGCAGGTCGAGCAAACTAACAGCCAAAAAAAATGGAAAGAAACTTCATCCTCACACTCCTGATTTAACTGAAGTAACTAGTAATAGAGGTGACAACTTCTTTGACAATATTATAGTGAATACCTCTTTAATTAGAAGAAACTATGAATAGTTGATGAATCCACAGCCATACAGATGTCCTGGGATCTGCAGAATGAGAAACATCTTTCCAACAAGCATCGATAATGCGATCCACATTGCAGTTTAAAACACTGCCATCAAATTTCAATTCAGCCCAGTGCATCTTGATATTAAAACCTCCTCGTCTCTGAACTGACATTTTAAGAAAAACAAAAGGCAGCTTGAATTTGGAGCACCAGCCCTGGCCCCTGTGCCAGACCACCGTCCAGCCATCACGGCGTAGGAGCTTCGCCTGTCCCTGCTGCCAAGACGTACAGAGACCCACCCAAGTCTGAGTTGAAGTCATTGCAGAGCTCTGGGTAAATCTAGGGGATTCAAGGAAAAATGCAGCCTTGCTGCTCGCTGGGAGGAGCGTTTGTTTCCTCATTATCTAGTTGTTTCCTCTTGTATCTTGTCTACCGTCTATTTTTTGTGGTTTTGAAAGTGGTGTCCCCGTTGTTGGGAGTTATTTAAAGGCTCGCTTTTATTCAGCTATGCCAGAAGGTAGAAGGAGTGGGAGATCTGTAGAAATAGATCTACGTAAATATATCACATCTGTGCACGTGACTGTAGGTATATCACATCTTCCTACCTGTGATATAATCCTCATTTCTTGTCACTGCTGGGAGATGCTTCCTCCATCTCAGTGAAAAAGAATTATACTTCGGAGGGTAAGAGGTACCTCGGGATAGAAGGATTGTGATTAGGAGGAGATCTGCAGAGAGTTAACAGTGAGAGTTGCTCTTTCCAGAAAGGGATTTTTCAGTCTCTCTGATATATGTCTGTGTAGCCAATTTGCTTTGCCATTAGGAAAGATTTGTTGCTGCTAATTTCCTGTAGATATGTTGGTCTCTCAGAAGCAGCATCTTCTTGATGATAGGTTAGAATCAGCCTGCCTCTGTCTGCTGCTGGACAGTCACAGGCAAACGGTAGCGAAGTGTGCCTTTCCAACAGGGAGAACAGAGAGGAGCACCCTGTGTTAATGAGGTCTGGGTTTTTGCTGTTGGCTGGAACCTTCACAGAGCAGAAGTTTGATTTGTAGAACTGGAATGCTTTTATGCAACTTTAATTGCATCTATTTAATAACAATTTTGACCTAAAGTTAAATTTGATTACTTCATTCTGTCTTCTCATTAGTCTTGAAAGCCATTCCTTATTCTTACTATTCATTGTTATTCTCAGCTTTTCTTTCCATCTCCATGTGCATCATCAGTGACTGAGATGTTAAGTTGCTGTTGGCCAAATGTTATTTTATCCTCTCAAATTGTATGAGAATCCATTACCTGACTGTGAAAGACACACAAAAACATGGAAGGTAAATCCCATGCTAAGTTTTCAGCTCAATAACGCAACTGCTGACATTCAGTATTTGGGCTGAAGAAGTGTTTAATCCCTTTGTGGAAGATGATGGACTGAGCACGTGCTTTTTAGAAAAATCATTGCTGTTCATACAGGATGAAAGAAGACAGTAATTCCAACCCAGGGGTAGATTTTGCGCTACGTGTTCTAGGATAGAACACAACATAATCAAATGAATTGTCTTCATTTAAATAAGGTTAAGGTTGTAACACAACCAGTCACTTGTTCCTGCTTGGGAAAACTAAAAGTTATTATTTAAAGTTCACTTGCTTTCCTGAGTACCCGTGTGTGTGGGCACATCTGCTGTGTAAGAAAGCAATGTGACTTCTGCTTTCCAGGGGAATTCCTGCATGAAGAAGGGCTGTCACCAGCATGCAGCGAAGTTGGCTGTGGCATATTGAGTGGGCTCCAAAGACCTCTAAGGATGGAGATCTCACCGCATCTCTGGACAAAGTGTTCTGGTGCTTTTTTGCTGTCTTTTGTACTCGTTAAAATGAGAAAGCAGAGTGCAGCTGCACTAGCAAATGGATTTTGAGCCCCAGTGTCACGTTGATCCAGCGTTTGGAGAAAGCCTCACATAAATTTCCTTTCACTCATCCAAATTTTGTTTCATGGGAAATCTGGTCTAGAGAGAAATAAGTTGTTGTGGGTTTTTTTGTTGTTTTTTAACAGTCTAGACCATCTCATGATACTGGATCCAAGGAGCATGTCCATAAAACCCACATTGTTTGTGAGCTTTGATTGGCTCTCTGCTTTATGTGGCAGAGCTGCAGAAAGCAGAACAGCAGAAATAAGGTGTTTGTTGGTAGTAACCCTGCCCACTCCAGTTTGTATCACTTGAGGCTCGGTCTCCAGTTGAGCTATAATTCTGGGAATCCAGAATTTGCCTTCAGTAAAAGACCTGAGGTCTTGCAAACAAATATAGAAACTTTGGGTTAACATTTTGTTAGAGAAGCAAAGAATCTGGATTATATCCTCTTTGGTTTTCCTGGACCCTATTCACACGCCCTACCTAAATTACATGTTTTTGCAATTACAGATTGCAGTTGCAAAACTAATAGCCTGCAGATGTTATGCAAAAGCAGAGCTCTGATGCAGTGAATTAGAAAAGGAGGGGAATATGTTTTATTGGTAGTAGTAATAAAGCAGTTAATTCTTTTTGGGTCTTACAACTTGTGAAATCTAGAAAAATAATTGACAGATTCACCTGGAAGTTATGGATGAACTACATTTTTCTGCTTATACAGCCAATGAGAAGGACACAAAATAGTGGAGAAATGTCATTTTTAGTAACTTAGAGGGGGAAAAAAAATGTTATTAAGGTGCTAGTTTGTGAGAGAGCCTTAGGAAGAAAATCTGATGCTTATCAAACATAACAGGAAGAACTGTTCAACCAGTATAATCTAGGATATTTTCTTTGTCTTCATATACACATATCCTTTCCAGTTTATCTTGAACTTCAGTTTTCACAAATAACACACAAATTATCAAAGCAATTTAATTCCTTAGAAATCTTCCTATATGATTTTAACCCAAACAGTTTACTTGAACGTAGAATTCTGTTCTTCACATCCTCTTACTTGGCGTTTAGGAATTTTTTTTTAATCAGCTGCCAAACCAAAATTACATCATAGCAAATGCATGCATTGTTCTTTACTTTTGGGTCTTGCAAAGGAGTTCTGCAGAGAAGTGTAATTGGCTGCATTTCTGTCCAGTCTGTCCTGTGTCCTCCTTGTTTACAGGGGGTTTGGTTTTTCTCTCCTATGGCTCTTCTAAGGGGTGGGGGGGTGAAGGGGAGACAAACCTTAGGAGTACATTTACAGTAGAAACAGAGTCCAAATGAGGTGCCAGCTCCTCCTTTTCCTTCATTACCATATGACTGGCATTACTGTGCCTATTTGTGTGCCTGACTACTTTACATACACACAAGGTGTACACACAAGCTTCTTCTGTGATTTCCCATAGTATTTCCTGTTCATGAAAGAGTGCTGTTTGTATCTAGTGCCTTTTATTTAGGATGTGTTGCAAGTCAGAAGTGAGATTCAAAAAGCTCAGCTAGGAATGAGGCAGGTATGCCTGGAGTAATTACGGTATGAGAGCTTTGCAGAGGAATGGGAGGACTGAGGTCATTTGGCAGCTGGTGTCACTTTGTTAACAGGATTAAGATAGACGTTTCAGTAGGACATAAGGTCAGCTGGCCTGGCTTCTGGAACTGTGCTTGTATTCTGATTCCTGAAGAGAGACAGGAGCTCTTGCTCAGAGGCTGCGAGATAGATTCTGCTATTTGACTAATAAATACTGAGAATTATCAGCATATTTCACTATTATCTTAGTCTCTATAGCTCCTCCTACTTGGCCTTGGAAGGTGAATAACGAGATCATAAATCATGACAATAAATTAGGTCATTTTAATTTGACATCTGCTTTTTAGGTTCCTTACGGTCTTTAAAGTAACATAGCATAAATTTAATGCAACAGGTGAAGGGACAAAATGAAGTAGTAGTTCCTGCACTAGTGATGTTTGCTGTCTTTGTAGAGAGGACTCATAGTAGGTTTCCATATCCTTGTTAGTCTCAATAATTTTTTTAGTTCTTAATCCAGAAGACGTCCTTGGCCCCTGGTTCTCCTTTAGACTGTGCACATGCTTAGCACTGCCCTTCATCGACCTGCAGCAGTGCTGCTGTTGGAAGAGAGTGGAAGAAACTCCTCAAAAAAGAGCTTTGTGGTAGGGTGAATTTTCCATTCCTCTGAGGTCTCTGGGATTTTCACAAGGCTCTGGTTCACACTGAGATGCTTCCCAGTTGGTTTAGTTTTGCAGCCCAGGCCATATCACATCTGGCAGTAGCACAGTTGATAATAAAAGGCAGTGAGGACCTCTCCATTAAAGAGTTTCTCATGTGGGAACTGAGCTGGATGGCCATTCTATCTTCTACAGCGATAATGTCCAGAAGGAGCACAGTTAGGTGTTATTTATAAAAGTTAGACTGGGAACGTCAGAAAAAGTGTAATCTTACACTACAGGACTTTTTATGGACTGTGGGATTGAGTTATTTCTGTTAAAACGCTTAAATAAAAAGCATATCTCATCACTTCATTGCTGTGTGCAATGTATTGGCTGTAAAAACCACCTGTGCATAGAAACACTAGGTTTGGAACAGCATTGGTGTGAATAGGAACACTTCTGGCCAAAATAAAAGCAGAAAAAGCAGTTCTTTCTCGCTCCTTCTGAGAGCTTTTCTGTTATGGGACAGTTTCCCTTCTCCCCAGTCTCAAAATAGCGTTGAAACTTAGAAATAGTAATAGAATTTTGTGACTGGGAGGTGGGGGCTGAATTTTCAGTTACGAACTCTTCGTTAACATGCAGCAAAATCAAACAGATAATATGTGGAGCCAATATCATTCGGTATGTACTGAACTGACACTTGATCAAATTAAGCTAAATTGTTATAATTAAACTGAAAACTTCAGAGCTACTGCTCTGAAAATGGCCTTTCAAGGTGAATTGTCAAGAGATTGTGCAAAGAGGCTCAGACCTTGTGAATTCTTAGTGCAGATTTCCTGCAGCTTCCTTACAGTAGTTGGCCCATCTTCTGCTCACTTCCATTCACATCTTTGCTTGTCATGTATTTGCTGCGAGGATCCTTGATGGGGTGGGCGAATGCACTTGGTCTTATAAAGCCTAGTGTTGAAATAATAATAATAGCAAGCAATGCTCCTACTCTGAAAACAGTGCAGCTTTTGCAGTTTGTGATATAATGGGTAAATGCTGTGGCTGAGAATCAGTTCATATAGAGCCTTTAGCAGTTTTCCTCTTTCATTCCCTTCTCTTAAACCCATCCCCTTACTTTTCTCATGCAAGGGTCACACTGCACTGGTAGGACAGAAGTAGCTTTGGAAACACCCTCCGTTCTACAATGACTGCCCTGTTTTCATGTCCTCTGGTAGCACAAGCAATATTGCAGAACCAGTGGCATTTTCAAATGGCCATTGGTGAATCGGTGAATCCATCCTCAGGACACCATCTGGTTGCCATCACCCAACCCAACAATGGTGGCATTATACAGCCGTTTCCTGTACAAATTTGTAAACTGCCATACACGTCCTTTGCAGTTATTCTTCGTACTGACAGAGGAAACCAGAAACAGATATGCCAAGACGTGATTCTCATTTACACCGTGGTCCTTGTTGTGTGCTTGGCAGTGTTAGGAGCTGCTATGGAAAATGAGGGTAAGCCTTTAGGCCGTGGGTATGCTGCAGTAAGATCTCTTCCCTGGGGAATAGCTTCCTTTTGCGTCCAGAGTAGTGTGCCGAAGAGCAACTGAGGTTCAGGTGCCACTGTATTGAGAACCAGGTTCCATCCAAAGGCCATAATGCAGCTCAGGTTCCTTGGCCTGCTTAGGAGATCGGAATGGAAATGTCATGTCTCTGGCAGCAGTCAGGCAGCCCAAAACAGTTACTCTGAAATTATCAGAAGGTGTGAACTCTGTGGTAGAAGAAAAAAGCTGGCTCATTGGGCCTCCCAGTAGCCCTCCTGTCAGCTCTGGGTTTTAAAAAGCTTATCTTCTCAATGATTTTCCCAGGGCAGCCTCTGGAGTTGATGCAACTTTTTGGGACTCTGGAAGTACACTTTAGTTTCACATGCCAAAAGCATAGCTCTAAAGAAGTTCCAGTCTCTTCTCATTGATCTAAAATTCCTGCAGATGTTCAGAAAAGCTAACTTTAAAAGATGGTGCGTAGATTTTGTGCACAACTTTTGTATATTTGCTTTGTATCCCCTTCATCCTGAGGTTGTTAGGCATGGTTGGGTAGTTGATAGATAAGCTTTTAGCTGTCAGGACTTGCTGGACACTACCAGGGGTAGCACAATTAAATAAAAACAGTGCCTCCAGCAGCTTTGGGGAGGTGCCAGCATGAAAGCTGGATGTGGGAAGTTCCTCAGCCGTCATGGGCAGAAGTTGTAACAGGCTCCAAGAATCACAGTTGTGAAGATTTGAGCTGGAAGAGGTCAAGGCATGATTCCCCAGGAGACCTGTTAGTCATAAACGGATGAACAAAGTGCCCAGTTACAGTATTTGTTTATTACAAGAAAATTTCTAAAGCTGCCTCGACAGAGCTGGCATGCTGAGGTGCCTGGCTCTGCTTGCCCTCTTTGCTTTGCCTGTGTCTTTGTTAGCTGCAGTGTTCTAGCACGTTGCTTGATTCCAAGGCAATAGTAAAGATCAAATCTCCTCATCGGGGCAGATGGCAAGAGCTGCACTCTAAGATTTTCCTTTGGTATTTTAATCCAGTCTCTGTGGAGCTTTTGTTCCCGTAAAGTAACAAATGTCCCTTGTTTTTGAAAACATTGTCCTTAGTTTGTCAGAGATGAGCCTCTGATGTAGGGCTGGGCTCATCCCAACATCTTGGATCAGTCTTTGTGAGAAGAGATGCAGCGATAGGGCCTGCAGCTTCCACACTGTAACAAAGCACGCTTGGATCAACTCATGTTCATTCTTCTCAGGTACGTAGGGGTATTGAATAATACTTATCCATTCTTAAGCAGATCAGCTAAGAAGGTAAGAAAAATCTCAAGAAGTCAATTTGAGAGAAATGTAAGATCAGGGTAGGAGAAAAGACAGCTCCTGCTGAGCCTGGAGTGTTCCTTTGTGTCCCATGTCACTCGGATATTCTGCAAATGTGTGTACCTCTCCTCTAAACATTTCCCATGGCACTGATACTGTTTTCTTACATCACAGCCATGCTGTGAGGTGGAGGAGCTCCATTGGTGTCCATAGCTATGTGGCACACTGGTCCCAAGGGAAGAGTTGTTCCTGGGTGAAGTGTTGCTGAGGGACCACATGCTGCAAAACCCAAATTGTCAGAACTGCCAGTTCTTACCATATGAAAGGCAAGTGCCAGCTAGGAAAAAAAAAAGAACAACAACTTTGGAGCAGCATGTTTTTTCTGCATCTAATGAAAATGATATGCAGGGATGTTTACTCTGTTCTAAGAGAGTTAGAAAAGGTCTCTTTTTATTGAAGGCTGATTGCCTGCAGGTTGTCATGCATCTAGTGGTAGGTGCTTTAAAAAACAAGCCACATGTCATATGACTCAGGCTGAAACTGTTGGAACTTCCAGCCTTGGAATATTCTAGCACAGTGGAATAGGGTTTCCATTGCCATCTGACTGTGGGGGTTACAGATACGTGAGTCTCCAACCCTTAATCCCTGTGAGAGTCTTGACATTGATCTTATGGAAGAAGCCTTAAAATCTCTGTTGTGGTTCCATGTGCTGCTGTGTCCAGGAGCAGATCAGCAGAGACTGAAGTAGCTAGGGAAGAACAAACGTTCAATGAGAACGTTCATTCTATAGCACTACCTAATTTCTAAAAGCTTTAATTTAACTTTTGTAATTAACTGCAGTTGATTCATCCTAATTATCTAGTGCTCTGAATGTTTTGTGGTGGCTAGGATTGATAAATGTGATCGTTATCAGATGTTTAACAAATAACTTCAGACTTTATCCCCAAGAATAAATGTGTTTCTATATCCCAACTTAATAAAAAAGGTAATACATTTGTGGCTGGATTTTTAGTATCCATGTCTATATTTATCTATCTGTCCATCTCAACTGACTTCAATAACACCAAACTGTAGTGATGATCAAAAGCAAAATGAGAGTGCTGAAGCTTGGGACTCATTTGAAATATTGTCTTTCCAGGCCAATATTTTTTCCAGTCATTATGCCAGCACTTTCAGGTCTGCATCGTCTATTTAAATTGTCATCCCATCTAAGTGCAAATCTTGGCCCAAGCCAGAGCCATCTGTTGTTGGGTAATAGTTGTGATTTATTTTGCCTCTGGTTGACGGTCATGCTCGTGAGCCAGATGCTGACTTGTAGGATTTGCATTTGTTCATTTCAGTTTTATGCCATGTATTAATATCTCAAACAGTATTTTAATTTTAGATATTTTTGTCTAGTATTTAAAATCAGGGATGAATAATGCCGTCACATTCCCCTCAGGGTAGCAATTCAGCATACTTCTGAACAAGATAGGAAAGGACAAAATGTTTTACACATGTTAATAATGCATTCACATTGTGTTCCTAAATGTTTAAATTCTTCCTAATCACTAATATTGCATTCATTTGTGTTGCATACGAATAATTAAGTATTACTTTGAAAAAAACTTTAGGACTGTTTGAAGCTTTCTAGGCTGCTGAGAATGCTGCAGGTAGCCAAACTTGTTGAAATATTTATGACACTTTGCATCACTGATGCAAGTTAGGACCAAGTATCAGAGGGACTTTCCTGCAAATTGAAGATGACAAGGAGATGGATGCACTTCTTTAACTCCAGGTTAAACAATAACTCATAACAGTCCTTTGTAGTGAAGATGGGCTGCATCCAGGTCCCAGATAGTCTGCTCCTCTCGAAGGTCGGCTCCTGCCAGCACTTGGAGCTTACAGATGACTGCCTGTTGTGTGTGTTTTCTCCAGAAGAGTTGTGCCACAGCTCCAGCGCGTACTTGGATGCACAGGCATGAGTGGAAATGACTTCAGTGTCTCACTGTCTGCTGTGGGAGCAGCAATCCTTCCCACGCTGTTCCATCTGCACCAGGAAAACAAAGGAGCAGCAGGTGAATTGCTGCTTGGATGTACTCTTTCCTGTGCAGTTTTAGGAGGTGTGTCAGAATCTGGAAATTAAGGGAAAGTTAATTTTAATGTCTTGGCTAGCAGAGCAGCATCACTGAAGATGATTCCCTATGCAACTTTCTTCAGACCCAGTGGTTGTTTGGAGGATTTGCTAATTACAGTGCACAGATGAGAGGTATCAAAGCCCCATTCCCTCCTCCTCTCCATGTAGGTTTGTGCTCTGGGCACCAGACCTCTGACCAGCCTGGATGCTGCATCCTCTCAATTTCTCTACCTTTGCTTTCCGTTTGCCACTTCACACTGACCTTTCAGAAGTCAGCCAAGAAGGTAATTAGACAGAATGGTCCTGAATTAGATAAAACGTCCTGACATTGCTGTTGATTTCTGTAGAGGTTACTCCAATTATAAAGCTCTTGTGATTGTTCTGAATACATTTGATGCATACAGTAAGTAAAGGTGCCATTAGAAACAAAACTAAGCCGGTCTCATAAAGATATCATAGGAGTTTTGCAAATGGAAAAGCGTGGAAACGAGGGATCAAACTTACTGCTGCTGTTTGCCCATGTGAGATACGTGTCTGGATCTTGAAAAATAAAAGGCAGATGTTGGGTCTGGTTTTAGGGAGGTTGCAAAAACTTTTTAAGGAGCTGGTTGGCGTATGTTGGACATGATGGTACCTGTTGGTTTGGTTCTTCCCAGTGACTCAGGCTGAATGTGGGAAAACTGGCATTAAGAGAGCAGTAAATGCATGGACTGGGAAAATAAAGCTTTGGATTAATTTTTGGGGGGCTGGAAAAGATGCTTAGTGATCGGCAGGATTTTTTTTCACTTAGAGCTTGAGTTAGGAATTTACACTGCATTTGTGAACTCTGTAAACATGATCCTTTGCTCTTAATTACTAAGAGGGAAAATATGCTTCCCTCCCAGCACCCACTGCATATTGAGGTGTTATGGTGAAGCAACCTGCAGGCAGAGGAGCTAATCTTTGAAAAGCTTGGGAAGTTTTCCATGTTCTTTGTGGTCTTTCTGTGGTCTAGGTCAGCACAGCGCAACACAATCTGAATGATAAGGAATGAACCAGATTTTCCCACACATCAGCCTGAGCAGTTTGAATTCAGCTATAGTTAGGAAAAATAAAATTAAAAAAAAAAAAAGAAGAAAGGCTGCATTTTTCCCAGGTCTGCATCTGGAGCTTCTGTAGATGCAGCTTCTGCTATTACAGCCAAGGGTTGTCTGAACGCTTCTGTTTTACAGCAGCACCCAGCCACCTCACTGTGAAATAAATTGCTAAGCACAGCTTTGCCGTCAGACTTCCTCAGTAAGTTTTTGTCAGCAGAGCTCATAGTTTGCTGCCCATTGCAGCCCTCACTGATACGGCCCTGCTGCAAGAGGCACGTGGCATGAGTTGACATAGATAGAGCAAGAAGATATTTATATAGAAAGCAGACAGCACTGCCAGTAAAGGCTCCAGTTCAGCAAAGCCCTTAACCACATGTTTAAATATCATTGAAGTCAAGCTCAATTACTTTAATCATATACATAAGTACTCTGTTGAATGCGGGTCTAATAGCAGTTTCCATCTCTTTCCACATGATCAAGGCTTTTTCATATTGTGCTGCATGAGATAGGGATTTCTTCTTGGTTACACAGCATGAGCAGCTGCTGTGACTTTTGGAAGACTCCCTCTACAACTTGAAATTGCTAAGCTGTTGTAAATAGTTTTACACTGAATGCCTGTAGCACAGAATGGAAAGGAATTTTCCCAGCTCTGTGCTTCTAGGGTGGATTTAACAGATCTTTTCCCTTGTTTTTCAGGACCACCTGTTACTGCCAGCCACCACACATAACAAGACTAGAAGGCCAAAGATGTCTATAGTGTTGCCAGCTGTAAACATCAATGGTAAGTGCAAAACATGAAAGAGAGATTGTTATGAGAATAATTTCAAAGAGATGCATCTGACTTGTGTGTGGAAACCAAACTTGGATCACACGTTGGTTGTTACAGCTTTGAAAATGAAGTGAGATTGGTCACCTCTAAGCTGTGGTTGCCAGGGTGCCCACTGGAGCTGGGGTGCTGGCATCTCATCTGTGCCTTCCATCCACACTGCCACGAGTGTCACCCAGACACCTCTGACTGCCTTGGCCAACAGTCTGCAGTCTCTCTCTGTAGCTCCCTCAGGACTCGATGGCAATGCCTTCCGGTCATGGTGATTTATACATAGCTGATCAGAGTTGCCAGAACGTGATCTAGCTTCTCTGATGTGGCATCTGTGTAGTAGAAGTGCTGAGTGACGGCCTGAAGCAGTGATTGAGCACCTGGTGGGAAGGAGGGCCAACCCAGGGGTGCTCAGGTGCATGCAAAGAACCTGAGCAATGGAAGGGCTGGAGCCAGGATCCACCCCTTCCCAGACTTCATCTAAGGGTTGGCAGTGGAGGTGGGGTTTTTTCTCTGGAGATGCTACCTGAAGCCTTTCAAAGATAAGCAGCTATTTTCATTCATTTCTGCACCACAGCTTCTGCATTTGGGCTTGTCCTCATTTGCCGCAGTCAGAGACTTTTCCACTCCACTGTTATTGCTATATTTTCCATCACATTATAGCGTTAACGTACACATTACATAACACGTACAAAGATTGAGTGTGGAGACTGTCCTTGCCGTCCCATTTGGGCTGCCTAGCAGGGCAAATTCCTTGGCCTTTCTGATGTGTTGGGATGCTGACTGCCTTCCATCAGCTTCTCAGCTGTTTACCACTGTGTTATACAACGCTCAGTGTGAGAGGGACCTCTCAGCACTGCACCGTCAGTATTAATAACAATCATATTCAAGGGCTGCAGAACAGCAGAGAAAACAGCTTTTCACTAAGGGCACGGGCTTGTTAGTGAAAGGAAGTGTTCTTGATCTCCATTTTAGTCCCACATGAGAGATAGGACAAGAACTGAATAAATATATCATTAATTCAGATGCCCCAAGGTTAAGGCATGTTTGGGAAAATGTCACTGTCACAGTCATCAGACGCATTGTGAACCCTGCGACAGCACAGACTTTGCTTACTGAATATCTGTACGCTGTGACGCCTTTTTAAAGCTTACATGTTTTACAGTACAAACGAATCACAAACCCAAATGTTTTTGTGAATTCAGGCGTGCTGAAAGCATTGTCTGATGATGTGAATTTCCATAAACAAACAAACAATCCGTTCAGGCTTCCAGCATTTTAATAATTGCGCTTTCCTAAGCACTATGGTAAGTCGAGTGTGGTGGTATACAACCAATTATCTGAGGGGAATTTTTGTGAGATGTGTCAGAATTATTTTTGGCATTTGTCAGTCAGAAACTCCCTTTTCATGTTCCTTACAAAAATCCTTTCTTGGCTGAGCTGAATTAGCAAATAGGCAGTTTATCACTTGGAGAGCAAGCTCTTATTTCTAACTTACAGCCTATTTATTCTTAAATGTTATTGAGTCTTAAGTATCTTTCCAGTTACTGGAGTAAATATGATTTGGAAAATACACATCAGAGCCCTGTGATGAATCTTATCCTTCATCATTAGTAAAACATTGTGAAATTGTTGTTACTGGAGTTCTTTGGGATTGTTCTTCAGAACATCGGTATAATCCAGGAAATAAAAAATATCCAGGGATTTGGTCAGGGATGTTGAAATGGAGCAGACACAAGGATAGTGGCTAAATAAACAATGCCATCAAACATTTGTTCCCCTGTGGCACTCAATCAGGTGCTAGGAAGAAATTCCAAGATAAATAAGAGGTGGTGGATAACTTGGCTTCATTTTTAAGTTGTTTATTAGTAGATTACTAATAGGAGGCTGTTAGCTAAGAAGTTGTGCCTGGAGAAGAACCATTTCTCTGCTTTGAGAACATTGCTTCTCCATCCTATCCTTCCTCTACGAGGGCTCGTACATCCTAAACAAGCATCTGGCAGTTTGCTGACAGCAAAGCTTTTCTCTCAGGTGTTTGCGGGGAGAAAGCCCACCTTAAGCCCACCTTAGCTCTTCATCCACCTGCAGAGAAGTGGCTGCTGGAAGAGGCTGGGTCTCCCTGGGAGGATCTGGCAATACTTTCAGTGAAAGAACTTGTCCCCTCCTGCCTTTTCTCATGACTCAGCCAGTTCTTTGAGGGAGAAGGGGAGCCTTTTCCACTTGCGCTTATTTGCTGTTCCTTTTCTCTGCCACAACCCTGGCAGTGGAGGCGAGGAGAGTGGAAGTGGAATGGCCTCTGCTTTGAAACTTTTTTCTTCATTTGCTTTCTTCTACAGGATCTTCATTTTATCTTTGTACCAGAGTTTACCCATTGCTCTTTTCAGATATGAAACAGTGTACAGTTCATTCAGAAAAGAACATTTTGAACTACTCGGACAGTCTCTTTCCAGCAGGACTGTCATCCTTTTCTGATTATGCTTTGAATGCTGGAGTGCCCTCTGAGCTCTGTTACAGACTCTTCCCATGGCTGATTTGAGCAGTTCCCATTGACAGCAGCAGGAAGAGAGAGCAAATATGGACAGAGGCTGGGAAATAACATGAGTTGTCGGTCACTGTCTTCTGTGACTGTGCATGAAGGTTAGTGACATAGTTCTGCAAGGTTTGTCTGGCTCTTTTCACCAGTGTACAAACAGAGTCTACTTTACAGTCTGAAAAACATTTCAGAATTCTTCTTGGAGGGAAAACGAGATATAAAGCTGGCAGCACTAATGCTTTTCAGCTAATGGCAAGTATCAACAGAAACCTTTGTAGTAGGAGCGTGTGTATGTGTGGGTTCAATACGATAGAAGTTTAAGTTGGAGTATTTAAGAGAATACTGTGCAAAGCAAGAACAGTAAGACATTTCTCTTAGAGACAAGAAGTTGATAAAAGCTATTCAGTAATTGCATGTTAAAAGAGTAAAAATGGCCATTACCTTTTATGCCTCTCCTATGTGGTCTGTCTCTTGTTCAGCCCAGATTGTCCCATGCATGAGGACAGCTGGCAAAGTCTCCACCGAGGGCTTCTGTGCAGGTGCCTGAAATTGTGTGAACTCTTAAGTATTAAGGTGTTAAAAAAAAAAAAAAAAAAAAAAAAAAAAATTAAACAAAACAAAAATCAGTGTTGGTACATGTTAATCCCACCCCTCTTTACTTCCTCCCCACCCTGTTCCAGCCCCCTTTCCAAGCTTGCTGGGCCACTCCTGCAGTTTGCAGCCAGTACACACCATCAGCTCCTCCATTTCAGCCTCCCCAGACGCACGCTGCCTCTCACCCTGGTCCCACTCCCCTCTTGGCTGCTGTCACTCAGTACTACTCTCCCTTAGGCTCCTGCAGCCAACTGTGTCCACAACTTAACCTGCCCCTGCCCAACTACAAAGCCCCAGCATTTGTGGACGCAACCAGCACTGGATTGATCTGTCTAGTGGGACATAGGAACCCCACGGCTGGTAAGCCTGGAAGGGAAAAAAAGCAGAGTTGCATAGTCCTAGTCTTGCTGTACGTGGTTCTGGGGACACCACTGGTATGCCCGTGATGAGAAGTTATTCCAAGAAATGTCTCGCACTTTCTCATGGGAATGAAAGCCAATGGCAATTTACAGTTAAACTTAAGCTTTTGTTTTTGAGCAAGTCATGTTTGTTGTGCTGGATTGCAACTATTATTTTAGAAATCTAACTATGCACTTGAGACCAGTTAAGTCTCTAGTAGATTTCATTCCTAAATTTGCTTTTATTGTAACTCAGAGTCTTGTTGGCTCATTACACCGGTTCCAAATTGACATATAGGCGGTGCCTTTCATTTCAGTTTAAATGAAAACATCTGCCATTAGCCCTGTATTTACTTAACTGCTGTAAAAAATGCAGCGGGTTATAACATCAATCTTTGGATCAAAATAATCTATAGAGTACAGCACAGCTAAGCCACTCTTCCTACCCCAAGCAGGGGCCTTTAGTCTCTACTAAATCCCATCTCTGTGGGATGTCTGCAGCTCTGCAGTGCAGCACACACCACCAGTAGTCCTCTCTGTGCGGTGTACAAAAGTGAGAACATATGTACAGCCGTCTGTTGTAGGAGATAGCATGCGAAGTTTAGCCAAAGAAGATGCTCTCTTTACTGCATTTCTTCTTAGGATAGTGCCAGTGCTCCATGTCTTGGAAGAAGCACAGTTGTAGAGTCCTTGGCCTTTGTGCCAGTTACAGATGCGGTGGTGTTAGTGCTATTACCAGGCCCTCGCCCATGGGGAAACCAACCAGCTGGGTACTAAGCTTCAGATTTCCTGTTTATTTCATAAGGACTAGTGTACAGTCTTCAGATAGACATGATTTGACATTCTTCTGATATGGAGGTGAAGGGCTGTACATCCTCTTGGAACCCCCAGGCATCCTGTATACCAAACTAATTTCTTTGTGCATTAATCTCTCTCTTTTCCTTTGCTCATAGTATGTAAATGTGTAAGTCAGGACCAGAGGCTGTTTACAGGGAAGCTGATTCATGCAGGTCAGTTCATCTGCCAGTATGTGGAATAAGTCACTGGAAAAGGTTACTGAGTTCTGAGCTGCCACTGATCCCAGAGAGAGCCGCTGCAAGGAGAATGTAGACAGTAAGGATGCCGAACAGCAGGGATTTCAGTTGCATAGCAAGAAGCAAGTGCACGTCCAGTCAGCAGCAAAGTCTGAAGTTCCTTGTTTTCTTGAGAATTGACAGCTGTGACAGAGTTTTGAATTTTCTACAAGTGTTCTGGATAGGTCCTTAGTCTAACGTCACTCACAATGGGTCTTGTTTTCAGTCTGCCTTTGAGATACTTGTGCTTGCCCTCTATAATTTATGTATTCCTGGATAGACTTCTCTTAGGAGTTGCTTTTTGTGTTGAAACACAGCACCCAAAGAGTGCTGAGTGGGATGGAGAGTTTTGCAAAGTCCATGTGCTCTGTTGTGTTGGGCATCTTCTGATCACAGCCACTTCCTCAGCCTTCCTTTGTCGAAATTCTCATCCTGCCAATGTGACAGACTTCATAAGTCTTTTCATGCTCTAAAATAATGCACGTTTCAATTCAAATGATGAACAGCTAATCTAATGGTAAGGCTTTTTGATCAAAACTGGAGGGATTTTGCCATCAAGCAGCACGAGTATTTGCATGCAGCAGATGTCCAAGGCTGGTAGCAAACTCTGAGAAGTCTGTAAAGCAAACAGAAGCCACCCAGGCTGAGAAGGAGGATAAAAAGAAAATCTCTTTGGGAAGTGATGATGTGCTATAAGTTCCCATGTCTTGGGGTTAAATAAATACAGTCTTTAACATCCTCTGCCTTGGGGTCAAGTGAACAAAAGATGCCATTTCCGTCTTTCAGAGTAAGAGGCAGAATTCCTTGTCACTCATCAGATGAAGGTCTAAAACCATACACTGGTGAACAGCTGACTTTTCTGAAGGTTACTGCTCAGCAAATGCTCTGTGTCCAGGTGTTGTTGGTTCACTCTTGATGCTTAGAAGCCAGATCTCGGAGCTTAGAAGCCAGATCTTTGTTCCTGTAGCTTCCTCTCTAAGCTGCTGTGCTTGGCCTCAGGCTGAGAATCTCTCATAGGATTGTTGGCTAGTATCACAGATGTCCTTCACCCCTCATGCTTGTATTGAGTTCTACTCTAGAGGTTGGGACTGAAACCTTGCCGAGGAATTTTAACTACAGATTTTAGTCATATTGTAAGATGTTACTGTTCTCTTTTCAGAGTGATGTACGCTAATCTTTCCTCTCTGCAAAATTGATCGTTGCTGAATTGACAACCTTTGAGAGATGCTGTGCTTCCCACCAGTTTTCTCTTAATATATGTTGTCCCTGACAGGAAAAATATGATTAAATTATTCATAGAATTATGACAGAAATGGTTCAAGTATTCCGCACACAAAAGCAGTGGAATCTGTGTCACTTGAGTTCATGTTTGTTTAGTTAGACAGGAAGCGATCAAGAAATGAAATCATAAAGACTTACTCCCCAGTGACTTTTCATAATGGTCTGTTTACCTAAATTGCTAAATAAGTAACCTATTTTTATGTGTTCATAAGAACAGGAAGACGATTTCAGTAGATCTTCTGTGTCTTTTTGCCGTTTCGTTATTATGAAAATCTTTTGGGTTTTGTGTGATGTAGCAGACCAAAGCCCCAGCACGACTGGTCTTCTCTGTATAGACAGGATAAATGCTGCAGATGGCATTTTCTTGGGAACACGCTGTCCGAGAGGGATAGAGAATGAGTCATAAATTAATTGGACTTCACATCTAGTATGTCAAATGCCTGTGTAGAGTTATTTCACCAGATTGTTTTTCCATATGAAAGACAAGCTATATAAAATCCCCAATGTAGAAGAAAAAGGAAACCCATGATGCTAGCTGCCAGTGTGGATGCTGCGTGCCAGAACCCAGTGCGTGTGTCTCACTGCACAGAGCCTGCCCTCTCGATGTCCATCGCTCCTGGAGCTGACACTGCCATGTGGGTATGCTCTCCCACCAGGCTGCAGAGCAGACTGCAAAGCAAAGAGAACGTTTCAGTCCTGAGGTGAGGTGGTGTTCGCCATCTCAGCTGCGCCAAACTGTGTTTGTGCAGCACGTCGTAATTCTAGCCTTCAGTCCAGCTGATCTGCTTTGATACGTTTTCAAGTGTTGTAAATTTAAGATTACATAATTCCTCTTAGTGTTAAATTAGACGTGGCAAATACACTTTTATGTTTGTGATACGTAGGCCAGCTTTGATTACTGGTAGCTCTTTATTTCTGCTGTGATCTGAATCATAATTATCCATAATGAGCTCACCCTGTAAAAACATCAAGAAAAAAAATTGCAAAGAACTGGTAGAGGAGGTTCACATTTATGAGTTCTGTCTTGAGGACATCATTGGAGCAAACCTAGAGATTAGGAAAAGCTCAGCAGTCCAAGACGGTCTTTTTCTGTGTTTGGATTGCAGTCTCTAAGGAGACTGCAGCCAGCGGGGCTGGCATGATGCTGCCCTGCTCTCCACTCCCAAGCCCAGCTTTCCATGCAGGGACTCTTCCTCACCCACTCCATAGAACACACCTTACCTGTGCCTTCTCCCAGCTGAGTCTCTGTAGCAGTCGGACAGCAGGGTTGCTGTGGGAAAGCATTTGAAAAATACATCCTGAGATTTTCAATTTCAGTCATCCCCCGGCACGTGGTTCCACCATCTGCCTCTGTCCTGTCCCTTGTTCCGCAGCAGTCCGTGTGAAGAGGTGGTGGCATGTGCCTGCACGGCAAGCAGTACGCTCTGGGTGGCTGTGGATGGAGGAATGATCAGCAGTCTGAGCTGCCCCTTGCTGTGCAAAAGAGGCATCTCTGGTTCAAGGCAGCGTTCCTATCTTGAAGCCGTAAATCTCCTCTTGCTGTAGCTGGGAGGCAGAGGCCTTTGAAAGTGACTTGTTTTTATTAGCGTGCCTCATTCACATAGGCATTCTGCAGCGTATGTGAGTGATTTATTTGTTTTAATTAACTGGCAAATGTATTGCATCAGGGAAGCTCACATGGAGGAAAGCAGTTGCCCCATGCAGACAAAAACTTGCACGGAGGTTGCGTGAAAAATGTTCTTCTTCGAGCAAGGGCTGATCACAGTTTCTAAATAAATGAGGTAATTTTATGTATCCAAGTGAGACAGGTGGAAATTTCAGCTCACTATCTGGATACCATCCAACCTATAAAGGCATTTGAACTGTAAGTGAGTACAGGTTCTCACCAGCCTTCACTCTTAAATCAGTGAGACACTTCAACATTAGGCTACAAGTGATAGTGGGTGATAGGGAAAGTCCACGCCAGTAAAAAAGTGATGGCTGCCTATTGAAGAGTAAGAAGTCAAATAATTCAGTTAATTTTATCAGTAACTGCCTACAAGTCGAAATGCTGAAGTACATACTGCAAGTCAACTTCAAAGGTTAAGGGCTGCGTAAGGATGGGAAAACATGCAAAGCAAACACCATAGGATAAAGTACTGGCAAATGGTATGGAGATTGATTAAGAGTAAAGCCTCCATGCCAAAGGACCGTTAAAAGGACCTTAGAAAATCCGGCAAGCTTAAATAATACATTAAAGTAGGTTCTTAGAAATAAGAGCTCTCTTAAAACAATGAGAAGGAATTAGAAATAGCCAAATGAGGGAATTAGAAATGGAGCACCATTTCTGGGAGGCTTAATATCAAAGCATAAGAAGTCAAGCCAAAAGTGATACTGAGGAACAACTTGTTTAAGGCATGAAAAGTAATAAAAACATTTTTTTCAGAGGAAGCCTGCCAGGGAATCTGTGGTGCTTGTAGAGGACCAAGGTGTAAA